AAGCACACACACACAAAACATTCACACACACAGAGTAGACGCTAAAGTGCAACATACAATTACGGAGTGTTCGACAAACACGGTTTTAATGGATGTAGTGCAAACAGACATTAACAACAAATAGTTCAAATTGTTGTTCGGTGATGCAGTTAACCAGTGCAATGAAGGCGAACGCAGCTATGTATATGGCTGGACTATTCACTTAGCAACGGACGCCCTCAATGAGACCGAAGAAGAGGCATTACGTCACATGAGTATAGAGCTGAACAGTACGAAAACATTGACAAGCACGAAGAATGAAGCTACTGAAGAGCAGCTATTATTCACCGTGCATGATTTCAGCGTCCTCATGAACGAGAACGAGTGGTTGAACGACAACATTGTGAATTTCTACATGAAAATGATTCTGCATGACAACAATTGCAGAACATTTCATCAGGAATGTGACAATCAGTTTGACAAGTCCAATCTATGTAGCACGAGGACGATCCCCGTCACAGCTGCATATAGCTCATACTTTTTCACTAAACTTCTAGGCAGGAACATGGAATTTAAGTACGACAAAGTTGCTAGATGGTTTCGGGATGTCATCATAGCAGACACGGAGTTGATTCTAGCGCCATATCACGATACGAAAAAGAAACACTGGACACTTATTTCGGCCGACCGTCGACGGAATGTGATAGAGTATTGCGATTCAATGGATACAAACACGAAGTTAGCTGAACAGGTGACAGGCTACTTCGCGCAATTTTTACTAGAGCGCTCAATGCACTAGGGCCGACCAATAGACGTATCGTGCTTCGAACACACTTTGAAGGTGAAGGCCATTTCGAAACAGGAGGACGCGAGTCAGTGCGGAGTGTTCATGCTCACTTATGCATCTCTTCTAGCGAGAGGCAAGGTGCCACCATTCAATTTTACAATGGACGACATACAGGGCATTAGGCGAAGGATCACAATAGACTCAATAGCTTCATGATTTGCAAATTTGCAATTGCATCGTATTCGTTCAGTGTTGTCGTAACTGGTAACAATTCAGAGTCTTCGATAGGTTGTGGGTATCCTCTCATATTATTATACACCGAAGAAAACTAAGAGGAATTGGAAAGCATTTGAAGGAATTCACGAAAGACATTGGCATAACTTCATTTGGACTCACACTACTCGTTGATGATGTATGTTGTATGATGGACTCGTACGGTAGAGGATATAAGGGACCATAGTTCTGGTGTATGGTCTTTTTCTTATGGGATATGGTATACTAAGAACATGTGATGGTAGCCATCACTGCAAAGAAGGAAGTCACTCAAACATAAGTGTGGTTGTGAACTGGGGGTACCATATACTGATGTATGTTATATGATGGACTCTTACGATACAGGATATACCATACTATAGTTGTGGTGCATGGTCTGTGATAGATGATCCTACCATCTAACGAGATATGGTATACCATCACAATGCGATGGTAGTCATTACTGCAAAGAACGAAGTCACTCATTTCCACAAAAAAACATAGACGAAATTGTCAAAGTTCAATTTCGCGAAAATAGTAAGAAATGTCAATTTTAACAAAATGTCAGCTACGTGGTAACCAAGAGTAAATGTTCTGCCAGAATATGAAAAGGTACACCTTCATCTTGATCGCCCCATTGCTCTCGAAATGCACAAAACGAGAGCGAATGCTCCGCTAGAACGTAAAAAGATACACAGCCATGATTACTGTCTTTTCTGCATGTCAAGAGATTTGTGTGTGTGTGTGTGTGTGTGTGTGTGTGTGTGTGTGTGTG